ATATATAAATATATATATAGATAGGAAGAGAGAGAGAGAGAAGAGAGAGAGAAGAGAGGAGAGAGAGAGAGAGAGAGAGAGAGAGAGAGAGAGAGAGAGAGAGGAGAGAGAGTGAGAGAGAGAGAGAGACAGACAGAGAGAGAGAGAGAGAGAGAGAGAGAGAGAGAGAGGAGAGAGAGAGAGAGAGAGGAGAGAGAGAGAGAGAGAGAGAGAGAGAGAGAGTGAGAGAGAGAGAGAGAGAGATAAGTGATTGTGCATGCGCGCGTTTGTGTGTCTGTCTGTTTGTAGATAGCTATACATATAGATTTATTTATAGATATATACAGAGATATATGTATTTATATGTCTGCCTATCCTTTCTTTCTCCTCTGTCGCATTCCCTTCCTCTCTGCCCTTCTCCCTGCCATTACCTGTCCCTTCTCTCCGCATCATTAGCTCCGTCTGCCTCACCTCGGCTGCTAAGAGGAACTGGAAATCCCTGAGGCGCAAACTTTAAAATGTGAAAACGCTCGTTTTCTCTGGGAGGGAAAATGTTGCACGATAATGTTCAAATAAATATCAATGTTGGATAAAATGCTAGATGAGAAGATGTTAGAAGGAGGAAATTATGGTCTTTCGAAAGTTTGGATTTTATTGATGGATTATGCATCGAGATTTAAAGAGATGGAATTCATGGGGGGTGAAATTTAGTAGTAGAGGACTTTTTTGGTAACAACATTTGTAATGGTAATGATAGTAGTAGAAAAATATAAAGATAAAATAATGATGATGATACATATGATAATGACACTGATGAGGAAAATAATAATAACGATAATGATAATGCTGAAGGTGATATCGATAAAGATAATAGAAAATAATGTTAATGAATAATAACAACAATGATTATGAGGATGATAATGATAATTCAAAAGATATAATAATCATTATTATTATGATAATGATAATAATAGTAATGATAATATTAGAACTGTTAAGATTAATTATGATAATAATCATAGAAAAGGAAGAACAATAATAACATTAGTAATGATAAGGTTAAATAAAATAAAAACACATAATATCTCTATTAATATCATAATAATTAATACAATAATGCCGATGTTTAGGACAACAATGATGATAAATATTTATAACCTCATTATTCTCATAACTATCATTATTGTTGATAATATTAACACTATATTTTTATTAGTAGTAGTAATGTAATCATTAATATCATTATTATTATTATCATTATCATCTTTTTATTTTCATCATTATCATCATTATTATTGTTATTATCATTGTTGTTGTTGTTGTCGTTATTTTATTATCATTATTGTTTTTGGTTTATTTTTATTATCATTATTGTTTTTGATTTATTTTTATTATCATTATCATTTTCAATTTTTCTAAGGTAGCAACATCTCTTTATATTAATATATTCTCTCTAATCTTTCGATACAGACATTTTAATTTTATACAACCTCTGTTGCACAAGATCAAGGTGGAAATTAGTCAGACGGAAACGGTCACAACCATCTTCGTCTGGGAGGCGACCTGTTTTAGGCGATACTTTCAGAAAGCCTCAAATTCAGACGGACGCGCGGACATTGACGCAAAAAAAATTTTTTCGTTTGATTGGCCTTCACTGCGCTGACGAAGGATGATTTTGCCTTTGGTGGAGGTTTGCAGGCACTTCCTCCTTGGCGGCAGAGTGAGCAGGGTTTTCACATTTTCTTTTCCTTTTTGTTTTCTCTTTTCTTGTGTGTGTGTTGTTTCTTTCTTTCTCTTTCATTCTCTCTCTCTCTCCTCTCTCTCTTCTCTCTCTCTCTCCCCCTCCTCCCAACCAAACTGATTTCCATCGCCTTCCTAATCTAGACTCCCCCCCTCCCCTCCCTCCAGACCCGCCGCAGCGACTGGTGGTGCTGACGGCGGACGGGTCGGAGGCGCAGCGCGTCGTGGGGCCGTTCCTCGAGGGCGACTCCTTCGTCTTATGTCCGGGCCTCGGGGGTGCGCCGCCACCGAGCGTCACGTGGTGGGAGGGCGACCTCCTCCTTGACCCAACGTCCGAGGTAGAGGCGCTGGACGAGGTCACCAACACGCTGCAGCTGGAGGCGCTGAGTCGGCGCGACCTCCTGCGCTCGCTCACGTGTCGCGCTGCCAACTCCAACCTGACGGAGCCGCTAACGGCGACCGTTACCATCAACATGAAGCGTAAGTCGCGGCGCCGAGTGGCGGCTCTTCCATTAGACATTTGTGTGACTTTCTGCTGCTAGACAGAGGCGTCAGTGTCCCTTGCTTCATTTCATGATCTCCCTTTCTGGATCACATGACCTTAAGAGTCTTATTCTGTGATCCCTACTCAACAGTTGCGCCGCTGTGGGTGAGGATCCTCAACACGCGGAGTTCCTTGAGCGCCGGGAGGCCCTACGACATCATCTGCAGGAGTGCGGGCGCGCGGCCCCCCGCCGAGATCACGTGGAGACTCGACCGCTCGAAGATTACGTCGCACATAGCAAAGGTGAGGTGTTCATGCAAGTGCATTAAGGGCAAATTCACGAGCGAGTGGGGTTACTCTTTAACTCTGATAATTTAGTGTTGTATTTTTAGTTTAAAAACTGCCCCAAGGAATGATATAACTAAAGTGCAAGATAAGTTTGATTACAACAATTTGAAGGGGAGGCCCCCAACAAGTATCAAAACCATTTGCTATCGAGCAGCAAAGTTGTGCTGCGAACAGAATTCGAACTCAAACGAACTGAGTTCACTGTGATGACTGCGTAATCCAGCGTGTTTACCCGAGCGTTAAGGTTCGGATGGCTGTTGCAACATTGGACAGATGTTAATAGCGTTATTTCACATTTAAAAACGAGTCGTTTATGGCGATCCCCGCATGGTGTGCATATTATAGTTTTAGGTAAAAATCGATAACACTGCAATCGTGTTATGTTGCCAGTAGCAACATGACACTGTAGCTGCAAATGGGTATCACGAAAAGTATATTATCTACAATATGGTGACTATATCTTAGAAATTATAGAGCCATAGAATTGCACTGTAAATAGCGATTAAGGAAATTGCAAACATCCTGTGTAATGGCGTCAATGGTTCCGTCCGTGAATCGAGGTGAGTGCGACTTTGGCGAGCAAAATCGACTCCAGCGGTGGATTATGGCATCAAAACATTCCACTAAACGGCAACAACGGCGCTGGAAATGCTTAATGTATCTGAATGGCTTTGACGTAAAAATATAATGTAATTATACCTCCCCAAGTAGAGTTGTTGTGAAAGTTAACATGACATTCATAAAACTAATAGCTCACGTTTCACAGACAATATTTATAAAACTACTGACACAAACTGTAGGGAGTACTCCATTTTTAATTGATATGGACCTATTGTAAAGATCAACGTACTTTTTACCAAATGAATAGCGCTTAATAACCCGCGCGTAAACAAAAAACAAACAAAAATAGATAAAAAATAATTATAATAAATTTAGAACATTACAAACCCAATAAAACATTTGAAATAGTAAACCACACTGAAAAGTGAAACAATGAATTCAATAAACTTTGGATTGAGATTAAGGAAATAAATGATAATGATAACAAGAGTAATGATGATGATGATAATAATGTATGGGGTAAACATGGCGATAATAGTTATGATAATGATAATGATAGTATTGATAATAGAAATGGTAATAAAGATTATAATGATGATAATAATAATAATAATAGCAATTATAATGATAATAATGATGGTGATAATAATAAAAACAGTAATAATAATGATAACAATAATAATAATGATAATATTAATAATAATAATAATAATAATAATAATAATAATAAAATAATAATAATAATAATAATAATATTAATAATAATAATGATATCAAAAATAATTATAGTAATAATGATAATGATGATAGTGATGATGATGATGATAATGATAACGATAGTAATAATAATAATAATAATAATAATAATAATAATAATAATAATAATAATAATAATAATAATAATGAGTGATAATAATAATAGTAATAATAATAATGATAATAATAGTCATAATAATAATTATAATAAAATAATAACAATGATGATAATCACAACATTATGAATGAATGTGTTACATTAAAGATAATGATTTTTATAACAACAATGCTAACAACAACAAAAATAATGATGATGACAATAATAATAATGGTCATACCAATATTGAAAATGGTAATAGTAACACTGATGGTAATAATAATAGTAGTGATAATGATAATATTACTAATGATGAACGATGATAACGATATTAGAAGAAGGAGAAGGTAAATATGTAAATAGATAAATAAAACAAAGCACCAGAATTGTTCGTCAACCGCAGCCCACTTTCGGATTAACACGTATTTCATTAAATGTCAAAACTTGCTTAAGTTGAAAGGGAAGCATCAGCTACTCCGCAGAGACTAGGTATACCTTTAGAGACTTCACAGACTTTACTGTAACAGCTGAGGCTAAGACTTCTATTGAACGTATTATTATTATGATTATCATTATTATTATTATTATTTGGAAAATGATAATAAAGGCACACGTATTTTTTTGTTTGTTTGTTTGTTTGTTTTTTAATTTCCTTTATCTTTCTCTCTTAACTTCGGAATCACTAAAAGACAGATAGTTCTCAGCGTGTCCGCCGACACAGAGAGCTTGTATTATATTCATTATTAATGTCGTTGCTGGTATGGGAGTTTTGTCATCATTTTATAGTTACTAATATCATCAATATTGTTATCATCATCGTTGTTACTATTATTATCATTATTATTTTTTATTATAATCATTACAATCATGATTATTATAAGCATTATTATTATCAATATTATCTTTATTATTATTATTATTATTATTATTATTATTATTATTATTATTATATTTTATTATTATATTATATTATATTATTATTATTATTATGATTATTATGATTATTATGATTATTATTATTATCATTATCATTCTTAGTAGTATTAGTAGTAGTAGTAGTATTTCTGATGTCATGGTTCTTCTTATTAATATCATTACCCATATTATTATCTTATACTGAAACAATTAGGAAAACTCTGAATGAGTCTTGTATGGACGGATCCATAGACATACACATGCAATCATACACATGCCATCCACCTCCCTCTTACCTCTCCCTCTCTTCCCCCTCCACCCACCTCCCTCTCACCTCTCCCTCTGTCCCCATTCCACCACCCCCTCTCACCTCTCCCTCTGTCCCACTCCACCCACCTCCCTCTCACTTCTCCCTCTCCTCCTCCTCCATGCACCTCCCTCTCACTTCTACCTCTCCTCCTTCCTCCATGCACCTCCCTCTCACCTCTCCCTCTGTCCCCACTCCACCCACCTCCCTCTCACTTCTCCCTCTCCTCCTCCTCCATCCACCTCCCTCTCACCTCTCCCTTTGTCCTCACTCCACCCGCCTCCCTCTCACTTCTCCCTCTCCTCTCTCATCCACCTCCCTCTCACCTCTCCCTCTGTCCCCACTCCACCCACCCTTCTCTCACCTCTCCCTCTGTCCCACTCCATCCACCTCCCTCTCACTTCTCCCTCTCCTCCTCCTCTCTGCACCTCCCTCTCACTTCTACCCTCTCCTCCTTCTCCATGCACCTCCCTCTCACTCTCCCTCTTCCCACTCCACCCACCTCCCTCTCACTTCTCCCTCTCCTCCTCCTCCATCCACCTCCTTCTCACCTCTCCCTCTGTCCCCACTCCACCCACCTCCCTCTCACTTCTCCCTCTCCTCCTCCACCATGCACCTCCCTCTCGCTTCTACCCTCCCCTTCCTCCATGCCACCTCCCTCTCACCTCTCCCTCTGTCCCCACTCCACCCACCTCCCTCTCACTTCTCCCTCTCTCCTCCTCCATCCACCTCCTCTCACCTCTCCCTCTGTCCCCACTCCACCCACCTCCCTCTCACTTCTCCCTCTCCTCCTCCTCCATCCACCTCCCTCTCACCTCTCCTCTGTCCCCACTCACCCACCTCCCTCTCACTCTCCCCTCTGTCCCACTCTACCCACCTCCCTCTCACTTCTCCCTCTCCTCCTCCTCCATGCACCTCCCTCTCACTTCTACCTCTCCTCCTCCTCCATCCACCTCCCTCTCACCTCTCACTCTGTCCCCACTCCACCCACCTCCCTCTCACTTCTACCTCTCCTCCTCCTTCATCCACCTCCCTCTCACCTCTCCCTCTGTCCCCACTCCACACCTCCCTCTCACTTCTCCCTCTCCTCCTCCTCCATCCACCTCCCTCTCACCTCTCCCTCTGTCCCCACTCCACCCACCTCCCTCTCACCTCTCCCTCTGTCCCCACTCTACCCACCTCCCTCTCACTTCTCCCTCTCCTCTCCTCCATGCACTCCCTCTCACTTCTACCTCTCCTCCTCCTCCATCCACCTCCTCTCACCTCTCCCTCTGTCCCCCTCCACCCACCTCCCTCTCACTTCTACCTCTCCTCTCCTTCATCACCTCCCTCTCACGTCTCCCTCTCTTCACACTCCATCCACTTCCCTCTCACCTGTCCCTCTCTCTCCACTCCATCCACCTCCCTCTCACCTCTCCCTCTCCTCCTCCATCCACCTCCCTCTCACCTCTCCCTCTCCTCACCATACATCCACCTCCCTCTCACCTCTCCCTCTCTTCCCCCTCCACCCACCAACCTCTCACCTATCCCTCTCTTCCCCCTCCAGCTCAAGCACGGGGACAACATGACGACGAGCGAGCTGCGTTGGACGCCGAGCGTGCACGACGGGGGGCGGGTGCTCTCCTGCCACGCCGATTCGCCCAACGTCCAGCACCCGCCCCTCGTCGACGAATGGCTCCTCGACGTCTTCTGTGAGTGTCTTTCGAGCTCTGTGTTGCTTGTGGGGTGCTTGCTGTCTTGATCTCTCACGTTCTGTATCGTTATATGTGCTTGACGTATTTCGCGAGAATTTGTGAGGCCTTATGATGCCTTTGGGATGTCTTAACTTTGTAATTTTGTGGCCTTTGAGTATCCCTCGTGCTTCCTTGAGGTCTTCTGCGATTGTGACCTTGTGGCCGTGCCTTGTGTTTTGTGATTTCTATAGGCTTTTGACAATACTTGTGTTCTGTTGGTCTCATTTCGGTTCTTCTCTCTCGATTATCAAGTGTACCTGATATTTTTCTTCAGAGTGACTGCAGTTTGTGAGTAGCTTAGTGCTCTATTGATGTCACTGTGTGCCATTGATTTCTTGTGTATCTTTGTGGGTTGTGAGAATACCCTGTGGCTCTTTGTCGCGTATAAATAATACATATAGCGATGATAACTGCAGTGAGGATCTTATGATATGCACGATGACTATAAAGATGATAATCATGATCATGATTATAATAGCAACAATTACGAAAGCAATAATACTAATAATGATGACAATCAAGATTATATTCGGTTATTATGATAAATGATAATGATGATAATTACAAATTTGAATATAATCATAACCACCTCCCTCCCGCACCCACCACTCTCCCCCTCTTGCCCCAACCCCTTCCTGTCCCACCGACCCACTCTCCCTCCCCCTGCCCCAAAACCCTTCCTCTCCACCCCACCCACTCTCCTCCCCCTGCCCAAACCCCTTCCTCTCCACCCACCTACTCTCCCTCCCCCTGTCCCAAAACCCCTTCCTCTCCACCCCACCCACTCTCCCTCCCCCTGCCCAACCCCTTCCTGTCCCACCGACCCATTCTCCCTCCCCCTGCCCCAAAACCCTTCCTCTCCACCCCACCTACTCTCCTCCCCCTGTCCCAAAACCCCTTCCTCTCCACCCACCCACTCTCCCTCCCCCTGTCCCAAAACCCTTCTTCTCCACCCCACCCACTCTCCCTCCCCCCTGCCCCAAACCCCTTCCTCTCCACCCCCCCACTCTCCCTCCCCCTGTCCCAAAACCCCTTCCTCTCCACCCCACCCTCTCTCCCTCCCCCTCCCCCAGATGCCCCGAGACGACCCTGACCCCGGGCGGTCCCTGAACCTGAGCAACATCGAGGAGGGCGACGACGTATACTTCGAGTGCTCCATCCGCGCCCACCCCCGGGTCTTTCGGATCGCCTGGCTCCACGAGGTGCGATTTCACTCGTCTTTTACTCTGTTGTTTATTTATCTGCCTAACCATTTATTGTGTTTATTATCCGTTTGAAATTTCTCTATTTTTAATTCATCTGCCTTATTTTCTTTCTTTTTTCAAGTTGGATTAGTGTTTTAATAATTTATTTTAACACTTTTTATACTCTTCTTTTCTTTTTCTCTTTCTTGACCTGTGTTTCTTTTTCAACCAGCGTTTACTCTATTTACCTGTTACCTGGATATTTGTCTCTCTGTCTCCTCTCATTTTTTTTTTTTTTTTTTTTTTTTTACATTCCGTTCTTCCGTCTGAAATTCCTTTCTATTTATCGTCCTTTCTCCTCACTATCGTCTTTCTTACGTCCGTTACTCTTTATTTACGGGTGATGATGTTCTCTCTTCTCTTTCCTCATTTTCTTGTTACGCTTATCCATTCATTCGGATTTGGAAAAAAATCTTATTTAGGTATGTTGATTTATTTTCTTTCACTCTTTCTCCTCTTTTCATAAGACACAACACACACACACACACACAACACACACACACACACACACACCACACACACACACACACACACACACACACACACACACACACACATATATAAATATATATATATTATATATATATATATATATATATATATATATATATATATATATATACATATATATATATCCTTAACGTGTATTGATTTTTTTCTCTCTGTTTTTTCACCATGTTTATTCATCCATTTCCCCCACCCCCGCTCCCCATCCTACGCCCGCAGAACCACGAGCTGGAGCACAACGTGTCTTCGGGCGTGATCATCAGTAATCAGAGCCTCGTCCTGCAGAAAGTAACGCGGGCGGCCTCGGGGAACTACTACTGCGTAGCCTTCAACCTGGAGGGCGAAGGGCGCTCCAACCCCATCATGCTGAGAGTCAAGTGTAAGTAGATTGGCTATGGGGGGCGAGAGGGAAGGCGGGAGGAAGGGAGGATAAGAGGGAGGGGGATTAAAAGGGAGAGGAAGAGAAAAAGGGAGAAAAGGGGGAGGGGGGAGAGACTGAGAGAGAAAGTGGCTTAAAAGATATGCGGGGTTGCCAACAAAACATAACCCTTCTTTCGGTTAATTGCGTCATTTCATGACTCTCAGAGAGACCTGATATAGTATCATGTACAGAGACGTTCTTTAGTAGCATAGCCAAGGAAGAATGTAATATCTCTGGACAAAGTCATTGGGGACGCAGAGATCCTGTCAATGGAAATAAAAAAGGTGGAAAGGCAGTATGAGTAAAGAGAATTTTCGCATTCAATCTCTCTCTCCCCAGTGCTTCCTGACATCCCTGATATCATGTTTTTTTCAAGATCATAACTGCAAGGAAACAATCTATCCTTCTATGTGTTTTGTATAGACCTCAGTGGCAAGGTAGTTATCCGATTGAATATCTCCATGCGAAATTGGGTAGCCTAACGCTGCATTAAATGTAATACTAATGAGTGATTGGAATCAGCATCTTGTGCAAAATGATTTTGACATATTCTGAATTGTGTATGAGCTGCACAATCATGTAGACTTTCCTACACACGACTCGGGTTCATCCCTTGATCCCGTCATATCTGATATTCCCAGTTTACTTCCAAGCTGTAAATCTCTCGGCACAGTTTGAACCTCTGACCACAATGCTGTTCTCACTCGCTTTGCCACTGACGTGGCTGAGGATAAGATGGAATTAAAAAATGGGAAGCTACCAAAGCAGATCTGCAAAATACAGACTGGAACATACTGCTGCATGGTAGTATTGATGATCAGGACTGACAAACGAACTCTTGGACATTCAGAAAAAAGTATGATCCTCTAAGGAGTTCAGTGGAAAACCTCATGGCCCACCCTGGTTTGGTCATCAGTGCCGCATTGCAGCCAAAGCAGAGTATGAATCCTGGAGGCATTTCAAGAAAAGACCATCGAGCAGCAACAAAAGTGTTCACAAACAAGCTTGCCAAAGACTTACAGAAACCTTTCAGTGGGCAAAAAACGTCGGTGGACAACTGATTTGTAGCACAAATTAGAGCGTGGCAATAGATGATCCAAGGATTAATGGAATTTACTAAAATATACAAGGCCTATCGCGGGAAGATCTCGACCCACCACTTACTTTCAAAGAAAGTATAAAGACCCTTGCTCTACATTTTGCAGAATAAATGACCTCCCATTCTACTGCAGCGAACTATCAAGGTGGAATTAGCCTATATCTTCTCCATATGAGTGCGTCTGAAGTAGCCATTCTTTTAAGACTCATCCTTACAGAGTGCCTCTCAAAGATATATTGACTGTGTGTGTGAGTACCTTGAAAACAACTGATTGCTTTCTTCAAGTCAGCATGGCTTCGCAAAGGGAGAATCGGCTTCAGACCTCCTATTGTCCCTCTCCCACAAATGGAGTGAAAGCCTAGATAGTGAATATGGCCCCCGGATCATTGCATTTGACCTTCTAGCATAATGGACTCTCTTCAAAAAATCAAACTCAAAGATACCCAGTTAACGCAGGTTTCTCACAAGGCAGCCTCCCTGTCCCATTAATGTGGAACATCTTTTTAATGACTTACTCCAACAAATCCCTGAGGCAGTAGCATATGCAGATGACTTCACTATTCACCTGCTCTTCTCCAAAGACAACGCCAACACACGCAGTTCAAGGCTCCAGAGAATTGTTGACATTGTGAAGCAGAGACCGCATCATAAGAACGCTTATTACAATAGCAAGATTCCATCAACATGCTTGGAGTTACTTTCGACTTTAGATTGAACTTCAGCCAACACATCGAAAGCCTGTCTCGCAACCCCCCACAGAAACTGAACGCACCAAGAAAGATTCTTCGTCTCCTTTTTCCAGAAAGTGCTCTACAGCTTTAAAAGTCACAGATACACTCAGCTCTGGGATACTCCCTAGTATGGAACAGAGAAGCTCAAACGTGCCTCAGTCTACTGGACAAATTCAAGACAGAGCAGTCGCACTCTTCTGTAGACTCCATTGGCGATGACATAAATGCTGACGATCTTCAACGTCGAAAAACGTAGAAGGCTTTACGGTCATATACAAGCCTCAGCACTTAAACGTCCCTCACCTGGCGCCCCTCAAACAGCAGCCACGACGGAGCACCCGTCTAACAAGAGCAGTGCAGCAAAACTCAGATTCCCTAAACCCTCCCACGGCGAGCACATTGCATTTCCAAAGACATCTTATTTGTAGATAGATAGGTTTGCTGAATGGTATATTAAGCAACCATGTTATTCCATTTCCGTGTACCATTCAGGCTTTCAAATGCTTTGTAAATAGAATCCTATCGAAAAAGTTCACACGGAAGATATGACAGGATTTAAGATAGATGTTATACTGAAACTTCTTTAACCCAATAAAAAAGGGAATGATAAATAAATTCCTTGGTACAAAACAGAAAAAGAATGAGAGAGTGAGAGAGAGAAAGACCAATAGTGAGATGAAAAGGTGAAGTAGAGAGAGAGAGAGAGGGAGGGAGACAATGGGACGGGGGGAGAGAGAGAGAGAGAGGGAGTCAGGGTGGGAGAGAGAGAGGGGGGCAAAATGAGAAGGGGAGAAAGAAAGAAGGGGAGGGAAGAGAGAGGGACGAGAGAAAAAAGAGAGGAAGAGAGACAGAAAGACTGACTAGGAAAGAGAGAGAGAGAAGACAGATAGAAACTCGCCGTACTCTCTCTCTATCATTCTCCCTCTCTTACCCCCTTATCCCTCTCCACTCTCTCGCTCTCTCTCTCTCCTCTCTCTCTCTCTCTCTCTCTCTCTCTCTCTCTCTC